AAAAGAAGTACTCAGAAATATTTATTGGTGGCAATCAGAAAAAATAATAGGAATGCTGTTGTGATATTGAAAGCATGACGGAATGAAGCAAAACATGTGGCTGACAACGTTGTCCCCAGTTAGTGTGGCATAGAGTTTGCCTAGTATCGTGAAGTGCAAATCGATTGTTGTATGTAGCTTGTAAACTCTGTGTGGTTCACGAAAAAAGAAAGTGTTAGATGGATGAGAATAAGAAGAGTGTACACGGAGATTAAATCAAAGTTCCCGTTTGGTATATTTATTTTGTTTATTGAGCCACGATAGTAAAAAATAAATGCCTTGAAAAATTGCCTGTTGCAACAAAGCGATTACTAAGAGACTATCAATAGATATCGCCTCGGTTGTTGTCAAGTTCTTTTCATTCACGACTTTCTATAGCTGAGAATGTACCTTATACCGAAAGGTATTTATCCGCTCGTCAAGGAATATCCGTGTGATTTTCCCGCATGCTGTTTAAATGATTTTCCTCGCACCAGTGAGCTGCCAGGCTCGTTTGCGTACCTTGATGGCTTTTGGAGATCACCCCTAAATATGAGAAAGAAATGAGAAGAGAACCAATAAATGGAATACACATGATCCTACTTCGTGGTAAAAAAAGACTATTCATTCAGAGTGAAATCTCAAGGGAATTAAGGGCATCCAAATGTTAAATAGATTGATTTGAACAAGCCTGGGTGAGTGAGAGAGTTTTTAAATTAATACTATGAAGTCTGCAACAATAGGCTTAAAATCAATGAATAATTGTTTAAAAACAACCACTGGTTGAAAGCAAGTAGAGCAATTTTAATTAGGAAAACGAGTCGGTGAGCTCGGGTATTCCTAGTCATCCCTTACATATTGTAACGAGAAGGCGAGTTGGCTGGGAAAACGTTTATTGATCCATTTCAAAAACAACCGGTGTATGCGTTCGATTATATACAATCAATTCTCAACCGCGCGGCAGGATGATTCATGCCTTATTCTGTAGGTCAATTCCTGTTGGTTTTGGTCCGCACTTGGCACGTACGTTTCCTCTTCAACCGCGTGCCGTCCCGACTGGTTTGACTCGATCGTAGCGCGAGATACATTGATCGACAGCTCCGACGTTGTGGTATTCGGTGAATATCTTTCTGGCTAGATGCAAATTGTCCATTGGGCTGTAATTGTCGATTCGTTCGTTTCGAGTGGTAGTCGACATTCTCTCTCGAGGTACTTCCAGCCACTACGTCTGCGCATCTGGTTGGAAGGGCCCTATTCTTGATTCGCTCACTAGCCGGGACTCTCTTTGTACCAACTTCCATCACACTCGTCCCTCCTTTAAAATGATTGTCGTGGGTGTACCACCGCTCCAATTCTTTACCAAATAACCACCTCCTTTGAGGACCCTGATTGATCCAAAAACTGGTGTTCTTCTTCTCCAGGACAGTGAATGGCGCCATCAACGTCTGCTTGAACTTTCCGGCTCCCGGTCCTGTTGTTTCGGGTCTGCCTTGATTCTCAATTTTTACTAGCTGTCCCGGTACGAACGGCTGCCACTTTTGTGATCGGTGTTTTTTGTCATACCTTGTCTTGTTGCGCTGCTAGGTTTGCCTGGTTTTCTGAACCACCACTCTATCCACTTTGTCTCGCTCTTTCGTGGAAAGTTGTTTTCCAGATCTTCCAAGAAACGCATCCAGAGGAGTTCTGGTTTCTCTACCGTATATGATTTCGTAGGGTGGTATCTTCGTTGTCGAATGAGATGTGGTTCTGTAGTTGAATAGGATTTTTGATAGGTTTTCTCCCCCATCACCGCGATGGTTATTGTTCTGTTGAACCGTTCAGTCATTCCGTTGACCTGCGGATGATAGGACGACANCCAGAGGTCTAAATTCTCCCGAAAAATCTTGGATTTGAAACACGGCCCCTGGTCGGTAATGACATTTTCCGGGATGCCGAGTCTTGCAAATACATTGTCTATAAATATCCGAGCAACCGTCTCTCCTGTTTGATCTGAGGTTGGTAGCGCTCCTACCCAACAAGTTCAATTATCACAACAATGTACTTGTTGCCTGTTGGACTAATAGGTAGAGGTCCAAACACATCCAGTCCCTAGGTTTGAAGTACTCTCTGGGTGTCTATTGATTGCATTGGCGGTGCTGATGGCGTCGTATATTTGTTATGTTAGCACTCGGGACAAGAATGGATGTATTCAATTACATCCCGACGCATTGTTGGTCAGACCACACGACGTCGTAATGAATCGAG